ATGTAACAAAGCTGTGGACAGGCCAAGGAATGCTCAGAAAGGGTTAACCTTGACAATCCTTGGTCCAGAGCCCTGGCAAACTCACTCCAAAGCCCGTGGCCCATAATTAGCAATGGCAATACCTTCAGTGTTGCTATAGATGCAACTTAACAGTATCATCAACACAGCTGGTGTCTGGCACATTATACTGGACAAGCTGGAGCGTATGGAAAGATTGTTATAATAATGTGAGAAGACCTGATTGTTCAGAGTGGTAGGTTGCACTCATATGGACTAATAATGAAATACTTGCTTCTGTAATCTGGGACCTTGCCAGTTGCTTTGGGAAGAACAGATGAAGGGAAGGGCTTGTGTATAAAGTTATTAACAGCAAAAAAAGCCACCTGTAAAAGGCATATGTGATCCTGGGATGTGTTACATATAGCAGCTTCAGTCAGGCTAGGAAAAAGAAACTCTTGTTCACCAGTACAGCTTTATCCAAAGTTGTCTGCTTTGTTCTGAATGCTTCTGTTCAGGAAAGACTTGTTCTGATTCAGGAGTACCTGGGTATGAATTAATTGTATGAGTGTAGAGTCCCTCTGGCAAGCCTGGCATGCACTAGCAGAGATCCAAAGGTTTAAGAAGTGCATGCCTGTGCTGCCTTGGGCTGTCCACTTGAGTGGGATTGTAAAATCAGGTTGGGGTGATGTGGGATTTAGAGTGGGAGGCTCAAGCTCTGCTCAAAAGGTCCCTTAAACTGCAGCCATGGAATGATTTCTGCCTGATTCTTTCTGAGGCTCAGCATGTAATTGAAACCATGGATGGATGGTTGATGATGTAATTAATTCTCTGATTGCCTGCCATTTTAAAATTTTCCTTTCATTTTTCACTCTCAAGCAGAGATTGACTGTGAAATCAACTGTAAGCCTGAAGGAATTCCTATGCCTTATTGTTGCTGCAAAAGCTACTTGCTATGGTGTATCTCAACTGCTCTTCTAATCTCCCTTCACTAGACACTTCATGCTTTTTTAACACTCTCTGGTTTAGTGTTTAACTGTCATTAACCACTTCTCTCTTCTCTCTTTTCTGTTATGGTGCTCTTTATGTGATTACTCACTCTTTTTTCCTCATGTTGTTCCAACTTCTAATTTAAACTATTCTAAGCTCTCTTTCTCTCTACCTTTTCTCTCTTCTGAAGTTCCTGTAGCAGTCACACTTAAAAAATCTCCTTCCTCCCTTCCTCCCTTCCTCCCTTCCTCCCTTCCTCCCTTCCTCCCTTCCTCCCTTCCTCCCTTCCTCCCTTCCTCCCTTCCTCCCTCCTCCCTCCCTCCCTCCCTCCCTCCCTCCCTCCCTCCCTCCCTCCCTCCCTCCCTCCCTCCCTCCCTCCCTCCCTCCCTCCCTCCCTCCCTCCCTCCCTCCCTCCCTCCCTCCCTCCTTTCCTTCCTCCCTCCTTTCCTTCCTCCCTCCTTTCCTTCCTCTTTTATCTTTGTCTTTCTGTGGTTGTAAGTACCCCTGCAATTTGTTTAAATTACACCATCTTGCTCTGTTTGGGGGCTGTCATACAGGATTTTAGAGATGCTTTCCTCTCATGGCACATTATTTACTTGTTACCATTGGTGTAGCCAGAGGGCTCATTACAAAAATCAAAATATCCAGGAGTCATCCATTTTGTATGTAGTGAAACACTTTTATTTCATTGCTATTACCATTTCTGGCAGTTCTTTAGATCAATGATTGAACATAAAATGTTATCAAAGAATCTTATAAAAAGGAAGAATCATCCCTTTGCTTTTTGAAAAAGTACACAAAAAAAAGACAGTTATTTTCAGTAGACTATATTGTTTGGTGAGTTTTTATCTTAAACTGTCTTTTAACTGCCAACTAAAATATTTGTAAGAAGAGCTGAAGATTGGACTCACATACTTGCTGATAGATGGCATTTTCTGGCCTTTTGAAAAAGATACCGACTATTTTGTGAGTACTACATATAGGCTGCTTGTAATTTTGTGAGAGTTTCCACCTTTGCTGTTTGCCATCCAAACTGTGCAAAACAGTTAAATGGTTTTCTATGGTTATACTGGTTACATCATATTTGAGCTGGTGGTGTGGCGTGAGGCAAAGTCTCCATTTGTACAACATGGCTTTTCAGTTGTAGGTACAGGAAAGGCACTTCAGGAAGCAGTCTGGGTCTCTGCAGAGAGACAGAATACCTATATCTCTGTATGTTTTGTGTTTGCATTAGACATTTGGCAAGTGTTTTGGCTGTAGGGGAGTCTTGAGTCTTAGGAAAACATGCTATATTAAGGCTCTGTGGGGTTTTGTTTATAGGGCTTCTGTAATGTTTCAGACTCCAAAACCTAACTATTTTCCCCATCTGTTTTGCTGAAAAGACTGTCAGTCTGATTTAAATTTGAGTCCCTTTCAACTTAATATGAGGCAGCTTCCCTAGTGACAGTTATCCATGACTCCCAGTGACTGGCGAGCCTCTGGGGTATGTGTGACTACATCCCAGGTCCCTGGGATGAGCAGTGAGGATGTGGGAGGCAGCCCCAAAACTGTGACCATCTCTTGTATTTGTTGGCATCCTTCAGAGTAAAACCACTAGTGCTGCCTTTGCTTCAGCTTCTGACACCTGGCAGACAGTGACTTGAGAAAGAGTTTGTATCTCCTGCTATATGTGCTTCCATGAAATTAACTCTCTCCTTCAACAAAGGATTCTGGAAAGCTGATTGGAAGAGATGAAGTGAGAAGAGAAATTACAGTGAAAATGGGATGTTAGTGGATGTGCAGTGTTACTGGTGGGGAAGCTCTCCCAAAGGAAAGGGGCAAGGAACTGAGTGTGGAGTTGGATTTTTAAATAGTATGGCAACTGTATTTGAATCATAGAATGGTTTTTCTTGGAAGAAACCTTGAGGATCATTTAATTCCAACTCCCTGCCATGGGCAGGGACACTTTTTTGCTAGACCAGTTGCTCAGCACTCCATCCAACGTGGCCTTGAACACTTCCAGGGCTGAGGCTTCCACAACTTCCTTGGGGAACCTGTTCCAGTGCCTCACCACAGGCACAGTAAAGAATTTTTCCCTAGTATCTAATCTAACCCTACTCTCTATTTGAATTTATTTCTCTTTGTTCTGTTACTACATGCTGTTGTAAAAAGTTTCTCTTCATCTTTCCCAGGAGCTCCATTCAGGTATGAAGGCTGCAATTAGGTCACCCCAAGCCTCCTCTTTTTCAGGCTGCACAAACACAATTCTCTCAGCCTTTCCTCATGAAAGAGGTGCTCATTTGATTACGGAAAAGCAATTTGAAGTAAACTGAGCTAAAAGGCAGGTTGCGTATTTAGTTTTCAATTGCTTATTTAATGTATTTATTTTTTTATCTATTTTATTTATTTTATTAATTTTCTGTGAAACATGAGAGGCTCTGAGTGGAAACAGAAAAAAAAAGGAAAGTGCAGCCGAAGAAAAGGAAAAACAAACCCAAGCTCTGGCAACTCACATGCTCTACTCTGGGCTCTGTTTGAGTTTGCTGGAAACAATGGTGGTCTTTTCTTCTTCATGGGAAATGATACTTTCTTTTGAAGTAAATGAAACTTGTGCTAATGATAGCTCTTTCAGACGTTTGAATGCCAGGCCTCTTGCAGTCTTCAAATGAACTTTATTTCAACACAGCTATTAAGTTGTCTCATCTGACTTCTAGAATGATATTAAAGCCAGATACTTAAAAGTCTCCATCTTTGGGATTCCTCTCCTGTTTTCCATGTCAGTTATAATTATGTTGCATTTGAGCAAGAGGTTGCCAGCAGAGAATACTGGGGAGTGCCAAATTAAATTTCAAATACATTTTGTTCTTTGTTTATGCTGAGAAATATTTTTCCTCCACGGTTGCTGTGCTCAGCAAAATGAGATCAGGCTGCCATTAAACTCTCTGTACATATCAGTCTAGCTGAGTTTTAAAGACTCTTTAAAACTGTGGCACTGTTACTCCTCCTCTGAAGTCTGGTGTAATATAAACGTCATTGGTCCTGAAGAAAAACAAAACAAAAAAAGATTGAAGACACCTTCCTTTCATCCAAGCAATCTCTAGTCCACTGTCTTGGTACCTGGCTGCCTACTGGAGAGATGTCTCTAGGAAAGGGGGGCATTGCTTATTTTTAAATTATGTGTTGAAGGTCTTGTGTTCTGATAAACAGTGTCAAAGTGAGATAGTGCAAATTATAGAACGGGAAAGGGAAAGCTCAGAATGACTTTGGGTGACTGGTTAGTGAATGATGCTTCAATCCCAAGCAAATGAATTTAATACCATTTTGTAGTTGAATATTTGCTTCCCAAATCCAGATTTCAGGTTTATTAGCATGCTGTGGATAACCTCTAGCAGTGTGTGCAAGTCCTATCTCTGTGCCTACTTTGCACATCAAACAATTAGCTTAATTTATATTATGAAGAGACACTAATTGGAGGGGAAGGAAGAAGTATGTAGCAACATGCCAATGACAATTAAGATAATGCATCAGATATCACCTATATAAGTTTTTGTGCAAGAAGCTGTTTTCAGATGTCACTTAAGCCTAATAAGAACTTCAACCCTTGCAAGGTGGACAGTAAAGTATTCCCTACCTCATATGAATTGATAAAGTGAAAATTGAAGTGTATTTTTTGCTTATTTTTACACAGTCAGAGGTCAGAAAAGAGGAGAGGAGTTCCAGACCTTTCAAGATCCTTGATTCTCTAACAGGTTTCTAGAAGACAAGCAATAGTTACAGAACTTCCCATGGCAAAACTTCACCAGTAACATCAGTGCTGTAGATCAGGGGTTTGATACACAGGCTGGAAAATAGTTAAAAATCTCCGTATTCTCTCTGGAGTGGAGATAATTGCCCATTCTGACAATAGCTAATTATGTTTGACTTGCTTGTGTTTTGTGGTCCTGAAGCAGAGCTTCCCAAAAATGCTTTAGTTGGAGTCCCACTTTTTACAGTCTCACTAACCATTTTTTTTCCTCTCTGTCATTGATCTGCAGAATGCAACAGCAACAACAGCAACGTCGAATGTTCACAGCTGCCCTCCTGGCACTCCTTTTCCTTCTGGCAGCCGTGAGTACCACTGAGGCTGGCAAGAAAGAGAAACCAGGTAAGGTTCAGTCTAATTCAGAGTTAATCCCCAAAATAGATTGCATGCATGTGAGAATGTCAAATGCTTCTGGTTTTGTTATGAAATCAGGTCATTTGTTAACCTTTTGGCATCAGGGTAGGATTTTTGGCTGTGACATGTTGTTCTGTGTTAAATAGGGAAGCAGAAAGGGGTTTCCATGTCAAGTGGCAGCTTGACAGCCCCAGAGACTGGAGTCCTTGGTTTGTCACACAGTGGATATTGCAAAGCAGCTTAAAATGTGCTCCATGAATAGTTTCATGCTTGACTTAGGAGGAACCAAACAGGAGTGATGAAAGAGTAGTTATGTCACTTGCTTGGTGTTATATATGACAGTGCTACACTGATGCTGTGTGATGTGGAAATCCTCTGACAAAGAATTGTACTAACTTGCTGTTGCACAGACAGCCAGACATCCAGCAGTAGTTGCTTTCTGTCAGTGATGAACTCAGACCTCATTGCAAGAGGAACTGGCCCAGGGTGGAAAATTCATATCTGTCAAACTCTGTTTTGACATTTTTTAAATAATGTATTTTTTGGTGTTTTTCTTAAGGTCGTATTATTTTCAGGCATCTTATGTACTAGATAATATGAACTGAGAGTCCATCAGAATTAGTGTTCCCAGTAAAAAAAAAGGAACTTTTAAACCATTTTGGCTTTGTGGAAATATGAGAAAATGGTAGCATAAACATGCAAGACCTAGAAGAAAAAAAATTTATATAAGTATGTTTACAGTTACTTGTGATGATTTAGGGGCTTAAGTAATTATTTTTGTGAATCCCTGGGTTTGATAACATTTCTATCTTTTCTCATAAGACTTTTGTTTAAGGATCTAAATAAAATCATGATCCTTACATTTTTCCTGAGCAACAAACCCACCTGCTTTAAAAGCACTTTGAGTGCACTTCTCCATGTACCTCCTTTGCTTTTGAAGTATTCTATTATAAAATGTGACATGGTGTAGCAAATCAGAAGTTTGCATCCCACAGCTGTTTCCTGGAGGTGCTCAAATCCTCTGATACACAATTTTGGCACATACATTTCTCTCTGTTTAGTGTGTAGTGCTTCAGCTGGAACTGAGGGTATTTGCATGTCCCCAGCTAGTGGAGACAGCTTTCTGAGTGAGAGCCCTCCTGCATGTTTTGCTCAGTGATCCCTGTGGGTTTTTAGATTTCTGAAGATGAGAATCCACTTGAGTATACCTGAATGGACTAGTAAACATGGCAGTGGGAGTGAGTTTTAATGAACATCATACTTTGGACTCAAATTCTGTCTCTGCAGAATTGTGAAGAGGATTTCAGACTTTTTGCTTTTAAGGCAATTGGGTTACGAATGTCTTCCTCACTTGCCCTTCCAGGTCCTGTGACTTTGGTTAAGTTTAGGCAACTTCTCCATAGGCTTTGGGCACTCAGCACTTCTCTTTCTTGGTTTCTTATCTTCATCCAGAGAAAAAGGCGAAGAAGTCTGACTGTGGGGAGTGGCAGTGGAGTGTCTGCGTGCCCACCAGTGGTGACTGCGGCCTGGGGACACGTGAGGGCACCCGCACTGGAGCTGAGTGCAAACAAACCACCAAGACTCAGAAGTGTAAGATTCCCTGCAACTGGAAGAAGCAATTTGGAGGTCAGCATTGCTCTCTTAAGGGGTTTACTTCGGTTTTTATTTCAAGTATGGAGCAGGAAGCCTGTTTTTCTGCTTAGTTCTGCAGACGTCTTGGTGAAGGCGTCAGTCCTGCATTCAGGCTCACCAGAGCTGGAACATGCGGGGTGCCAGAAGGCAGTTCCTCAGAGCTCCTCTGCAGACAGTCCCTATAACCTGCTTATTGTAAACTCCGCCTTCCTGCATGCTGCAATCTGCTCTCTGTGGTGTCCAGCCCTGTTTAGAGCAGTAGTGCAAGTTCACAGCTGTGAACCTCTGTGATGGCTATCACAGGCTTTCACAATGTGTGATGTGGAGCGTGGGGGGCTGGCTACCTGTGTGTGCAGTGAAAGGAGGGAGAGAAGACCAGTGTATTTTTATCATTCCAGACCAGTGTATTTAATTTTTACCATTCAGTTCAGCAGGTTCGTATGTACCAATTCGGGAAGACATGTTAGATCTGTCCTGGACAAGATGTCTGTCCAAAACTCAAATTCTGTTACTCTTACAAACTTGGCGCTTTTTTCTAGTAAACAGCTTGCATGATTTTGAAATTATGGTGACCTTACCAATATAATCAGTGCTGCAGTTTCAGACTTGAGAAGTCTATGGGTGCACATACATTCTAGAAACTGTTCAAGCTTTATTTGGTAACCTCTGGCATCACACAAATTGAGAAACAACCATATGGAATGTAAATGACATTTCAAACTGCTGTTTCTTTCTTTTTTTGTTATTGTTGTGCTGTTCATATTCATAGCTAAATGGATTTATCTTAATATGCCAAAAAATGCAATATCCATGCAAAAGCAAGAGGATTAAATTTTAAAGCACTGGGGAGGGGAGGAGACTGCAATTACCACTGCAAATAATCTTTAAAGTTTTTGGGATTATTTTCTTCAGTTGCACATCTTTTTGTCTGTAAGCACCAACTGCCTGTGATATCCTATTAGTCTCACAATGTTTTTATTTTCACACTCAGTCATTGTGTTTTAAATTTTGCTTTTTTCTTCCTTGCTGCAGCGGAATGCAAATACCAGTTCCAGGCCTGGGGAGAATGTGACTTGAACACGGCCTTGAAGACTCGGACTGGGAACCTAAAGAGAGCCCTTCATAATGCTGACTGCCAGAAGACTGTCACAATCTCAAAGCCCTGTGGGAAGCTTACCAAACCCAAACCTCAAGGTAAATTCCATTTGCTGAAAGCTGCATGATAGTTCACTTAAATCACTGGGTTTGTGATGTCCTGCATGCTTCAGTGGGAGCTCAGTTGTACAGGATATTGCACTTTCATGGCCATTCCTCAGCTCTGCACTGCTTCTGTCTGTCAGGGCTCAGGCAGGGAATATTCCTGAGCTGGATAGTCAAGGCTGTCTCACACTTGACAAGTAAGCTGAAGATTAGAGCTCCAATTTTAACTTTAGACCACCTGTACTGTTACCAGTTTGCTTATGCAGCTAGACTTCCAGAGTAAAGATTCTTTTCGTAACTCACTTGTTAATGGGAATGGAATAATAATAATGACATGAAAATATATCCCTTGAGAAAGACATATTTTATATAGGTTTTGGTTGGTGTTGAATAATGACTAGTTGAAAAAAGGACTGCTTTCCTTCTGGACAAGTAGCATTGAAAAGATATTCTTCTCACTGCACACTGAAATATGAAAACACTGTACACCCCTGGGGCTGTTTATTCAAACGTAGCAGAAAGAACAGTACAGAATGTATATGTCTTATTTAAGGGTGACTGACAGTATAATTCCTGGTACACAGAAAGACATATGCCCTGCATTTGTGTTACCAGGTGGCCCTTAGAGAAACTTATTTTCTTTCTAATCATTAAAACCTTTTAATATACTTTTTTGGTAGAATAGCAGGTGTTATGTGTATAGGATGATTTATAGTGGGAGCTAAAACTGTGAGATCTTGTTTGAGATACAAAAGTAATGTGTTTTAAGTAGATTATAAAAACTATGCTACCCTGACATTTGTTTACGTAAAACCAGCAGGGTTTGACACATTCCAGGCTCTGAATGCTTGGATAGCAATACAAATAAATGTGATTAGGTGTGACAGGTGCACCTGGGACAAGCAATTTTCCACTTGTGGGCTGTGGGGCACCATTGATCGGAGGAGTACCTGCAGGTGGCCTGCTCTGCTTGAGCAACCAGAGAAGCTGCAGGCACTTTGTGTGTGTGCACATGCATGCATCCATACACGTGACTGGTTTTCCTTGCACACCATCCATGGAGTTATCAGATGAGTCTGGAACCTGTGCAGACAGTGACAGGCTGTGGAGCAGCAAACTTACAACTAGATTTTCAGAGACCACCTGAGTTGGTTGAGCTGGTAACAATAAACATCATTTAGGGATTGAAGTGATTGGATGGGAATGCAGGAAGGGCTTTGAGATGTGTGATTTTATTGTTTAGTAGTTTGGGGGACAGGACTTTTTTTCATGTTTTTGCTGTTTTCTTTTTTTCACTAAGTTTCCATGCCTAAGTAGCCTTTGGGAGTGTACTGACTGAGGCTTCCTGTTGTGCTGCCAGAAAGGCCTCTGCCCCTGGAGCCTCTGCCTTGCTTGTCCTGCTTCCACTGTGTCATATATCTATATCCTGCCAGTCAGTGACTGTCAGAACAGAGGAGAGGGGACAAAGCAGAGCACTGATGCAGCACTGTTTTGTGAGAGCAGTGCTCTTGGGTGGTACAGGCTCATTTTCGAGTTAGTGTTTTAAAGGCAGAACTTGAGAAATTGCTGGATTGGAGTCAACTTTAACTGATTCTAGAGTCTAGGAGTGAGTTGTAGCTGAGACTGAAAATTGGATTGGGACTGACTACAGCAACCTGTTGTGGGATTTGACTTAATTACGAGACCTGGCTTTATTTTATTTGAAGGAATGCAAAAAGAGAAATAGGTACAAATGTGGGTTTTTAATCATAATAACTGTGGGCAGTTCTGCTCTCCTGATCTGCGTTAGAAATCTTCCTGCATGCCACCTGCTCGCTCATCTGCTCTTGGCATTAGTAGGAGCAGCAGGCATGGGAGTCACACACACACAGCCTGCCTGGGCTCAGAGCTAAGTCCATATTGCAGATCCGTGCGTACAACTGGGCAGTGTGTTGGCACCAGGAGGAGGAACTAGAAGAAGAAATTAGGTCGAGCAGATTAGTATTGTGTGAAAAGTTTTGCCCCACTGAACTTTATTTCTGAGTTAAAAATCAGAGTGCTGGAATGTTAGCTGGAATTAGACTATTTGTTTTCTTCCTGAGGTGAAGAAAATTACAGGTTGGAGGTAAGTCCAAATGCACAGCTAAGATAAAGGAGAAGATTTAAACTGCATTAAATCTGTAGCTAGAATCTTAATGAATTTCCCTTTTTGGAAATGAGAAGAACTGGGTTATGGTCTGAGCACTTCAAATGGTCTACAGTTAAATGTTAGGCTCTTTTTTCTCCCCTAACTTTGCATCAGTGCCTCAAGACTATAACAAAGAAAGCCCATGATGCATTATTTGGAAGCAGCAGCTCATTTTCTGAAGTGTGAAAGGTCTGTACTGATATCCAGCTAGATCTGTGGATGCTGTTCAAGGGCTTGCCTTTCCTACTGGGATTGCCAGGCCAAGCAGGGCAGGGACTTTCTGGCAGGGACTGCTCTGGCAGCAGAGCAGTCAGCCAGGGGCTCAGCAGTTCAGGAATCTGTTTTACTGTAAATGGTCTCCTCTCTGAGTGGTCTTTGCTTCAAGGGGTGAACCGATGAATGCATCTCTGACAGCAACAGGCTGAGAGTACCAAAAACAGATGTGAACTGACTGAAAATATTGCACTTTAAAATACCAGTATATTCTGAAAAAAATGTTTTTGTAATTTTCCTGACTGATCCCCTTTCCAGCGAGGTGAAGTTTTTATTCTATTAGGTTGTATTTGTAACCTCTCAATTATATCAATTTTTCTTTTGATTTCATACTGTAAATGAGGTCAGTAAAAGCCCCTATTTAGCTTCTCCAATTGATGGTACTTTTATATATCTTCTTTTAATTTTTTGTCGCTTGCCATCTTTTAAAACTTCTGACTTAAGTATTTCTTGGTGTAAGAATTTATCCACAATAAGCATGCTTACTATTGGACTTACTTAAATTCCTTCTATTATTGCAAAAGAGTTTTTGTTATGGAGAGACGGGAATGTAAACAGTGTTCCAAGCATGGCCTCTAAAAATCTGTGTTGAAAGAAGAAAATACCATTGTAATGCTACCTTTATTGTTCATTACACCCACAAAATTAGCTAAATATTATTTTAATTTTGATAATTGCTTGCATGGGCAGTATCTGAGACCTTCAAAATTCTCCCTAATTAAAAAAAAAAGTAAATAAATTAATGTGATTATTTAACCCCAGGAATTGTGTGGGTAGGAGAGGTTATCTTGTCTAAGGCTGACCGATGAAGCATTGTGCATCAAATTTCACCTGACATTTTTCCTTCATGGGATGTGGTGTCTGAAGCTCCTCCTCACCTTCTCTGTTATTTGACGAAAATGCCAGTTGATGGATCTTAAGTGTAGATGCTGCTCTGCTGTTGCTTATCCACCTTTCCAGCCCATCTACATATGGCAGCTTTGCTGATAGGCTGAGTCTCCCTCCTCTCACTTACGATTTCTAAAACGACTGCTGTTCATAGGAGTTGGATCTGTTCTTAACAGAAAGGAAAATCATACCTGCAAAACAATCTCGGGGTTTATAATTTTACAGATTTGTTGATAAAATATAGTTTGGTTTTCCAGGACTTCTATGATCGCTGACAAAGCTTATTCTAAGTTAAAGTAGGAGATGCTCGTCAACTTTGGGAATCAATTCCTTCTTTATAAACTGGTAACCTAAGTGTTTTTATGGATTTCTTTTATCTTTAGTAAGCATCCATAGAAAAGCTTAAAACCTTTTTAAGCACTCTCTATTAATTTGGAAAATAAAAAAATTAAATATTTTCTTCTTAGCAACTGGTCTAAGTGCTTGTCAGTACTTTTTACCTCTAAGTAGCTGTTTTACTGAGTACAACTTTATTTAAGGATGAGAGCAGATGATGAAACAGGAGTTTGAATATTACTTGGCTTCCTGACAAGCTCTTTTCTCCATAGCTTTGCGCACATGTTCTCAGACTGGAAGACAGTGGCTTGGTCCTGGGCTGCTCGGTTAAAGTGTAGGTAACACAGGAAGAAAAATATCTCTCCTTCTTCGATACTGTGGATACTGTGCATTTGGACAGACAGATTGTCAGCAGTGTGATAGTGATATCCCAGGCACCACGGTTTGTTGTATATTTAGTCCACAAATGAGGTCATGAGAAAGCCTGTCACGAAGTCTAGAAAGGATGAAAGGATGATTTTTGTCAAAAAATCCCAGTGGAGGGCACCTCTTCTCTAGCACACACAGTTGCATATTCTAATCAGTGTCTGCAAGGCTGATGATGTTGAAGATCTCCCTAAACTGTCCTGACAGATGTGACAGACTCGGGCACTTCTGTTGAGTGGTTGCTCTAATGGCCAGCCCGTGCTGAGGAGCACAAAACGCTTCCGACATCCTCCATCTGGCCAGCTTAACACTCACCCAAACCTGATTGATGCCTGCTCAGGTTCCAGCCAGCCAGAAAGCAGAAGAATGGAGTATTATCAGGATTCAGGAAACGTTTTACTTTAACTGCTAAGAGAGGAGGAATTTATTTTCATTGAGCTGGATTGCCTGATGGGCTTTATTACTTCTTACACTCTTTCTGTCACTCTCATTCTTTCTTTCTCTCCCCCTATAACTTTTGTACTTTCAGATATTTATTTTTCTGATTAAGATAAAATTAAATTGAATAAGGAGTTTGCCTGCCCTTTCTGCAACGTACCCTTCATTTTTTTGAATTATGCTCCTTTCTGGTAACTTTTTCACCTGGCTGCATTTAACTCTTTTTAATAAATCTCCCTTCCCAACTCTTTATCAATTTACAGTGTATCACATCTATGAGTTACTTTGTCATGTCTCAGCTCAGACCTTGCCACAAAGGAAAAGTATGTGCTAAGGTTGGCAAATATTAACACTGCTCACACCACTGTTGTCTTTAGTAATTGGGGTGCCAACCAAAGATCACATCCTCCAACATGCAGTGTTTGGAAAGATTTCCCACATGAAGGCAAGACCTAACTGAGCTGTT